GGAACACATTGTTTTTTGTGTAGTTCATAGGCGCAGTGGCAGAAACAAATATTCCTACGCTGGCAGTCACTCTGACACTGGTCACTCTACCACTCGACGACAGTGTGACTAGCGCACAGGAAGCGCTTTCCTGGAACCAGCGGATATACAGATATTCTGTGATATAACGTCATTATTTCAAATTTTGTAGTTTAGTTTACTGAGATGAGTTTCATTATATTACACAGTTCCGTGTCGGTAACACGCCAGATTCTCCCGATATTGAAACCGTTTTCACATATGACTACTGCCACTCACTACACACACGATTTCTGTTACCGCTGGCTTTCTCTTTTTTCCAATTCTGTTTCAGTTTCACATTTCTAGGAAAGGCAAATATACATATATCCCTGTGCTCAACTACGCACTACGCTATGAGAGCGTAAGGGGGAGTGGATGTATAGATCAACGTTCTCTTGACCTCAACAATAGTTGGAGTTGAGTGGTCAGCTTCAAGCCCAGGCCGCTTTACCCCCAAGGGAAAGAGCCCCTCGTACCCACTGGATAGGAGGCTGGGTGTGCCCCAGAACCGGTCTGGACGATATGAAGAAAGAAAAATTCTTCTTCCTATCGGGACTCGAACTCCGAACGCTCGGTCGTCCAGCTCGTAGTCAGTGGCTCTACCGACTACACTATCCCGGCTCAAAGTAAAGTTGCTCCTGTGCGTAACTAATTAAGCAGTATGCCATGAAGACTTATGGGTGAGTGGGTGTATACATTCACGTCACCTTGACCTCTGTACTAATTGGAAGCGAGTGGTCAGCTTCACGCCTGCCGGCTCACCTCAAGAGAAGGAGCCTCGGCACCCATTCGACAGGAAGCTGAGTGGCCCCGAGAGCCGGCTAGGACGCTGTGGAGAAGAGAAAATTCTTGACCTTACCGAGACTCGAATTCCAACATCTGAGCTGTCCAGCCCATAGCCAGTAGCTATACCGACTGAGCCATCGCGCCTTCCTTAAGAATTCTTGCTCGTACCGGGGCTCGAACTCCCAACTCTCGGTCGTCCAGCCCGTAGCCAGTCGCCATGCCGATTGAACAATCGCGGATTTTTCTATTCGTCTGTAACTGCAGATGAGGGTTGTACCTTACTAAGCCTATTTTTCCATTTATATCTAACTTAAACGTATCTTTTCAAACATTTCTTTGTTTCCCTTACATTTCTACAGTTCAGATTTATTGCATGCGATATGGTAAAATAAGAACACAAATTGTGACTCGCAGTCAGTGTTATACATTTATTTAGACCTGAACTAAGGGACAATCATCTGAGAACTTCCCGAAAATCACTGAGCCGCCAGGGAGGCAGAACGTTTTGAAGGAACCCCTCTGAAGACCACATCCCCCCACCCTTTGGCACTACAGCCCCAGTGGCCCTAGGCCTACCTCCATGAACTTCCTGAAGAACACATACCATTTGAAAATGGCAGAGAATAAGAGATAAGATTGCATGTTCTGTGTGCATTATTTCGCTGCTTTCGCTGAATGTTCGGAGCTTCTGATTTTGTAACATACGTACATACACAATACAGAATATTAATATTTTCTTGGCATACTCATAACGAAAGTTCGCAAACACAAAGCCCAATATTTTGACATCTGTAGGTCCATCCGCAGGTAACAAGTCCTGAACCGCTCTTGGAATATTCATGAAATTTGACACTGAGGAGTTTTAATAAAAGTTTTCGGTACGTTACAAGTTTAAATAAAATCGGATAATAAGTATGGCTACATTTACATTAAGACGCACATGCATTGAGCCTTACTCGCCAACGGGGCAAAAAATATTTCAACAAACTTTGTAGAGAAAAATGAAATGCACATTTTACAGTCCAGCCACTCTTCCATAAGTCTTACGATTTTCAGAATAATTAAACAAGAGGGGGAGAGCTCATCAGAATTACTGAGTTACGCCTCCAGATCCGAACTCATGGCATGGCGCTTAATTCTGCTCTGGTACAAATTTAGCTTTGAAAAGCACAATGGCCGCATGTACTCTGCATATACTTACTTCTACCGCACAGACACTAGGACAGTGGGTTCGAACAACATTCGGGTTGTGGACATATATTTGCCATTTTCTTACATTATGTTGTTTTGTGTCGGTACAAGTCTTGCGACCGGCCGAAAAACGGCAAACTTTGCAGAGTATTGGTCTGCCATGACATAGAAGAAGACACGATACGTAAGAAGTAAAAGTGCACTACAGTTATGCGATTAATGACAGAGGGGCTAGAGGAAGCTTGAAACACAACTACTGTTATTACTATTGGCCTCAGATGGTTGTATCTAGACTATTAGGTTGCTGAGGAAACCGTCATGTTACTCGTAAAGTACTTCGTATCTGGGTAGAGTTGCTGTAGACGAAAAGAGATGAGGAAGGAATGGTGTAGAATGGGAACATGGAAAATTAGAAGCAGCAGAGAAAGATAAATTGCCTCTATGTCAAGGATAGGAAAGTGCTGTATATGTTTCATTAAATTGTACTTAAAGGAGGGTGTAGAGAGGGGAATTATTGTATTATGTAAAAGGTGTAGTAATTAAAGAAATATTAGTTGCAGAAAATATGGAATTGCAATAACAAGTTATCTTACAGGCAAATATTTATTCGTGGTTAAATATGAAGTGGAAGATACAGTAAAAAAATATATCATAAAATTATTTATTTGAGCTACAAGGCTCTATCGCACTCATTGAATGAATATATTTTTCATTACACGTGATAAAGACTGGGAGCCGGTATAGCTACTGGCTACTGGCTGGACGACCAAGGGGTTGGAATTCGAGTCTCGGTAGGGTCAAGAATTTTCTCTTTTCCATGTCGTCCAGACCGGGGGTCCACCCAACCTCCCATACAGTAGGTACCGGGGGTCTTTTGCTTGCTGGATAAATAAATAGTAATGTTGTCCCACAACAGGAGCCACATGGTATAAAGGACCGAAAAGTTCAGAAGGTGATATATTTAAAAGACGTGAATACGAAGATACGAATTATGTAATTTGAATTCAATAAATTAAAATGAAAATAAGGAAATCTGAGGGAATGTTCGAAATTGTAATACTAAATGAATGAATATAAATAAACAAAATATTACATCTGAGTTTTAAAGGCTGCGAAAATTTATACTTTGTTATTTTTGAATTTCGAATCCTGTACCCTCGTAGATGGTTACCAACGTTTAGAAACAACCGGATACCTTCATCTTCAGGACACTCTTTGTGTGAAGGTACCTACCGTCTACGTGATATCACAATATTAAAGATCAGAATCTAAATACTCCGCTGCACTGCTACTGCTGGAGTATTTTACGATCAATTTTAATTTTATAATTTGCCACTTTTGAATATTCTGGAAGGAAACTGTAACTGCATCCCGTTTCTGTAAACACGTTTTAGTTAATGCCTATACAACTGAAGTGGTCACCAGAAGTTCGGCTTTATCCACGCGCTTAGAACTTCTGCGGATGGTAAGGACCTCGGATTACAGTTCTGCAGCTGTACGCTCAAGAGGACCGTTCTCGCCAGACATTCCGAGAGTCTCCGCTTGTGGAATGCGCCTTTGAGCGCCACTGTCGGGTTTCTCTTCAACATTCATGGCCAGCTCGTTTTGTCTCACAAAGTCTGTTTACTTAGCTCGGTGCCCTTATCCCACAGGACACCTCTCTATGGTATTAATTTACATTCGGCATTCTTGCGGAATAATATATTTCTGACGTCTCTCTACCTCTAAGATTATCGCTTTATTTAAATAACTACAGAAACAGGTACCATTTTCTTCAGTGTAATGACGGAGATGGAATTAACTTTCGCAATATCAACGCACTTATCATTCATGCAATGGGCAACAATTCTACATATCAACAAAATTGTCCTATATTTGAAACACGCCAAATTATTCAAATAATTATGTAAGATTTCAGGTTTTCAAGAGGGTGACCATGAAGAATGCCGTCATTCTGGCATGTGGCGCGGTGTAGATCTTGTGTGAACCGACCTGCTCACCCTGGTTCCTAGCTAGCGGATTTTTCTATCCTGAAGATGGAGGCGACACGTTCGACCGAAATATCGGTCCACGCAAGATCTACACGGTGCCACATCCCAGCAGACAGAACTCTTCGTATTCAAATAACTGACAGGCTTCTTTCCAAATCCGATAACGGAACGAAAAATAAGAGATCAGAAATTGCAATCACTGTTTGAGCTGTCTCAGACCATACACCCATCATACCTCATGGCAATTGGAGTTCAACCGTAAAGATGGACGCAGCATATTCCTCCGAAATATCGGTGAACTTCTACAAGACTACATGGCGTCGGCGTCACATCCAAGAAGATGGTAGATTTAGTTTTCATATGTTATTTCGACTACGGATTCACCACCCAAAATTTTTCTTAAGGTTATTTCACCGAGTTCTGTGGCGTAGGGATATATATATATATAGCATTTGGATGGTAGAATTTTGATCGGATTATAAAATCGCCGTCCACATTCCTACCTACTGACAATTCGTAATCAGCTACCACAGTCTGCGGCATGTAACTTCTGAAAATGACAAAGTTTAAACAACTTTCATCTTATTCATACAAGTACAAATGATTTCACCATCTGTTAAAATTAGACCATGACAATATACGCAGGCCTATATCGGGGCAGTAAGTTAGACTGCTTTAATACTGAATCACATACAAATCTGCTGTTCTCTTTCGATAATGTAAAATGTAGCGCTTAGGAGACGTCCCGCCGTTAGAATGTGATCGCCGGAAGTATGAATCCTGTCATTAAGCACAAACTTGATGTAATTTTCAACACGCTGGAGCGTTAGACCAAACGAGAAGCCGTTGTAAGGACTGCTGAACGCTGTGGTTTTCTCCGCGCAGCGCCGAGGCGCGTCGTCACCGCCGCTGCAGGTGGCGGGCGGCATGGCTTATCGGCGGACGTCGCGGTAGTAGGCTCCCAAACTTGACTCGCGTCACGTCGCGTCTACAACACAAGCTGCTGTCTGCGCCCCTGGGGCGCTATTGCTTCCCACCGCGCATGTGACGTTTCCAACTAGTTTGGCATTAAGAGTGACGTTTCGTATTATTCTGAATGTAAGTCAAATGTTGCTACACGACTCACCTGAGTTTCGTTTACTACGTGCGGTTTCGAGAATAATGCTGGCTTCAGTGTTTAAGACTGTTGTGTAAAGCATGCTGTGTAAAGAAATAATGCAAGAAGATTCTGGAAAGTGACGCGAAATAGGTGCAAAAAAAGACGAAACGAATAGAAAAATGATGTAGTAATATCGAAATGCTCGTTTCGGGAACGTTCGGGCACTGCGCCAAAATTGAAAACCAATAAATGAACAAGAGCCTAAAATCAATAAGTGATAACTTTTCAGCGTGCCAAAACTTCATACGGAACTACCATCCGATAACATTAATAGCTTTTCCAGTTATTACAGTGTTTTATATATATTTGATAGCAAATGTCTTTATCGGATGTTCGTGTTTTCTCGAAGAAACTTTGTCCGTTTTCTGTCTCAGAGGCCGTGTGCAAGTTCACCGTTCTAAGTCGGCGTACTGAGCTACGAGTTGTATGCGTGTGAGTTTGTGTGATTTTTAGTTTCCCCGAACCAGAAAATGGATTTGGGTAGTTTCACGAGATGAACATGTATACATAATTTTATTTATACGTATAAAGTGTAAGTGTTGATTAGTGCATTGGTGCATCTGCTCAACAGCTAGACACTATCTTCCCTCCTTATGCTACACTGAAAGAAAGTACTGAAGCTGGAAAACAATTTATTTGTTAATTTTTTCTTCTAACGGCAACGAAACATCAGACTTGCCTTCTCCCAAGGAGTTGCTTCCGTCACTAGAGGCAACAGCTGCTGCTGCCGGTAAAAAATCCATAAGATAAATAAAAAATATACGAGAAGGGGACGAATATAAATAAGAAATTTATAAAGAAAAAACTGGAGGAAGTAGCCAAAGATGATGTTTGGCTGCTGCTCAAGTTCTTAACGCGTGTGACAGAGATGGTTACGGATGCCGATGCAGGCAAGTCTCATAAGTTCTAGATTTAATGAGGACGGCTGCTCTCACAACTCTCGTTTCCGCTGTGTCCTCGCCCTAAGAGTGGGCGCGCTGTTTGTCGACAACACTCAACTTCCGGTTTGTTTATTCCGAGAGAGGCCCAGAGGCTCCATACATTCTTATATCTTCACACAAATTTTCTGGCTTTATGAGGCAAATATAAATCTTTGTAACTGGTGTCAATATAGTTGCATTATATGTGCACAGTCTTCTGTTATGCGGGCGGATTTCAAGTGATCTAACAGCAACATAGAATATGTGCTTTCTATTGAAAGGCCTACTTTCGAATGGCTTTCGTAAAACGTAAGGGAAACAAACGTTTCAATGACCCGTAAGAAATCTTAGTTTCTCGGAACAGTGTGTTGACCTCTAAGGACCGATAAATTTACCATTATTCCAATGAGCCATAAATATTCCAGCTGAGATTTCTAGACTGTGTCATGTAAGCGTGTATTAAGTGAAATAGGAGCAATTCATAACGCCTTGAGGATAATAAACAAAACGTCACCATTCTAACTGAGCTAAAAATCACAATAAAGTCTAAAAACCTGAAAGGTTACAGAATACTTCACTAAACTAAGGCGAATTATCACGTGTGAAAGAAGTTTTGAGTTGAACTTGGACTGACCTCAGTTATATATTTCTTTGTGACAAGTGACTCTCTCTCTCAAAAATACACACAAACATATTACATCCTTTTTCTATTAAATAATCGCTTCCTGTGGATAAATGTTTCTACACAAGATCATGACTAAGTCTGTTACAATCTGCTAGCGTAAGCCAAAACTGCAAACAAGGCCGTGGTGAAGGCATTCCGCACCCTAGAGATTTGTTTGCTCGCCCCCAATGTATCTGGGGGCTCGGACCATTACTTCGGGCATCGACACGAAGAAGTCGAGGAATACACCGACCGCCATGGTCCAATGGGCGCTCTCCAGAACACTTTCCCTACTTGGCGTCGCCATTTTGGTACACCTCATTGTGATGACTTCAGTAGCCGAGAAAGGTAAGATGCGAATATTGACTTCTATGTTAAGCAGCTGCCACATTTACAAGTAGATCTATATTCTAAATGTGAAATAGCTAAACTATTTCGGGATTGACTTGATAAATGACTCTAGCGTTAAGAAATTAAACACAATTTGATCAATTCCGTCTACGGTCGGAAGGATATTCATATAACATAGTGTATTATAATGACTGTCTTAACTTTTACGTTTTCTACCATGAAGATGAAAATAGTTCATTCCAGGTATTAGACCGCACTCTCTTCATATTGACACCTTACAGTGCTTAGAAGAATTTACTCAGCATGACACGATAACGAAACAATAGCTAGAAGTACTTTCCATACAGCAAATAAATAGAAATTAAATCTGCTTAAACATGTGTTGGGAGCATGCGGTAGTGTAGTTGGTTGAGGCACTATGCCACAAGCTGACAGGTCGCGGCTTCGATGTCCGATGAGCTCACTGAAATTTTCAATTGACCTAATCCTTCCAGCCTCATTATGACCCTCTAAAAGAAATGAGTGCCAGGAATCTTCCTTGGGGGTAAAGGGCGATATTAAGAATTGTCAAGTGAAGCGTTGCCGCTCTACAAGACACTTCTTGAAATAAATTTACGGTTACAGAATTTAAATTCTTTAAATTACACAAGACAATTGTGTTGCAAAGTTTACAGAAATTAGATCAATTATAGGAGATAGAGAAAGACTTAAATACCTGATCCTGCCTAACCTTGAGGTTTTATTATGCATCAGAAACTACACACTTCAATGCCACAGGATTCTACGCACTTACAGGGGACTTATACGCAGCCAGCTGGCAACTATCAACAACTATCCAGCAATTCTACAAGAATATATGTTCATTACTTACATCTATGCACATTACACTGTGTAAAATACATTTTGAATGCGTAAAATACAATCCATTACTTGATAAGTTTAAGTTTGATATTAACCGCCGCTGTCGGTGTCAAGACAATATTGCATAGATGACAGGATGATTAATGCATTCGGAAGAGTTGGTGGGATGAGAATTGGCGGGGGGAACCGAAGTACTAGAAGAAAATTCGCTCTAGTGCCACCTTGAACACCAGAAATTCCACATGACTTGACATACTCTCGAGCCTGGGTCACAGGAGTGGAAAGCCGGTGGCTAACCGCCTGAGTTGTTTCAGGCCCATTATTTAATTTTATATTAATAATCTCCCCTTTAATTTAGCCACTTAGTTTACAGTAGTAATCATACGTACCAGCTGTATCAAAGAAAGAGCCATTTTCCCGTAGCGCTCATTTATGGGTTTCGTAAGAATCTTTTAAGAAAGAGCGATTGTTCTCCCGTACAGCGTTAAATAACTGATCCTTACAAGTGAGGTTCAGTACGCTTTCTTAGCGGCAGGAACTGAATTTGGTAATACTAGATAATCTTCACGCTTCTAGTGGTTCTACTGAACATCCTTTATTAAATTACCATATCAGTTCTAAGTTCGATTAATTTAACAAATCTTTATTTCTTTATATGTTTCCATGATTGTTTGTAAGTCTGATTATTTAAAAACAAAGAGAGTAATGTTGAAATATCAAAAAACTGTAGGATAACTTATTTTCTGTAATCATTGTCTTAATTTTTATGATAAAGGCTCCTTCATTATATGAAACCTGTTACGCGGGACAAGTCCAACTGTTTCGAATATATCTGATACACACAGCTGGACACGTTTCTGTCATCAAATGTAAGGAATGAAAAGACCCTACTCAACTGTGTCCTTTAGAAAAACCAGTCTCGATCACGATCCAGCCCAAAACAACCTCAAAGTAAACAACCATCATGGACACAGCAAAAGTAAAGCTATCCCTATAACAGGGCCTGAAGGCGCATAGGGTTGTGAGACGTCGAGGCTCCAACATTATCTAGACAATCGGCTCACAGATGGCGGCAATATTGTTAAAATGACGCCCCGCTAGACCTTTACCCCTAGGAAGATTCCTTGTACTCATTTCTGTTACAGGCTGAGTCGACCCATTGGGCCTGGGAAAATTGGGTCAATTGACAAACCCATGGCAACCGTTTTCTACTCGCGGGACACCATGAAGTATCCATGACTCAGCACGGCACACCAAAATGTTATTCCCTTCAAAAACGATTGATATCAGACAATTAATATAAATACGTAAAGTGATCAACTTATTACTATAATATTATTATATTGTTATTTTACTATCATTAAACAGAAATCGAGTCGTGCATTTATTAACAATTAATGAACTTCAATTCACTGTAGAGTGTAGAAAATACACTTCTATTACTATTAAAGTAAATACAGTAATTCTACTCATACCTTCAATGTGATACTTGCGCCTGCGTAGCTGCACACAGGCGACTGATCCGTGGTGGAATCGTTGACAACGCAAGTCTCATTTCTTCATCGATGGATTTGAGCTGCTCCCTCTTTGA